TGTTTTGGTTTAGTCTAGATTTAATTTCACATAAATAAAACAAATTAACATTAAAATGAAAGTGTCTCCTCAACCCTGTTACGGTCTTCAACCCCATCACTGTAATCTAGACCCTGTGACATTCATATTGTTTAAGGAAAACAATTAAATATAGAAAAAACATATTGCTGAGCACCAGCCGCCATGTTAAGGCCTGACATTGTGAACATGTGGTTTGGCTAAGACATCTAAAGTTAAAGCTTTTTTAGAGAAATGAAGAGAGCACAGATGCATAAGTTGTATAATTGTAATTAAATCACATCTGAATCTAAAACTCCTCAGAAATGTGATGTTTTAGCCATTAAACTGGTTTGAGGCACACGAGCAACAGGGAAATGTTGGTTTTACAGTAAAAGCTTTGTGAAATGCTATTATTAAACTCAGTTTAGTCCGTTACGGGGTTAAGAATAACGGCTGTCCAAATAAGAATAAAAGAGAAAATAATATAAAGCTTTAATGCCTGAGTTGGGAAAAGATGATGTTGTGAACGCTTCAATTGTGCCTCATTATGTAGGCTATTTAACAATATCATCAACACACTTTTAAACATGAGTTTGCTCAAGCTGAAATATTAGCCAACGCCAGAAATGAGCCTTATATTCTCTCAACTCTTCAACGTGCGCACACTACAAGATCTGAACACATCGGGCACAGCACACTACAGGATACTATTGAGACGACTGTGCCTGATGGAGCACATCACCCAACTGCAGAAGAACTGCTGTTTATTATAGGCCAGCGCACACATATCTGAGCGACTGCCAGAGCGAACAGCCTGCAGAATAAAGACAACAGCTGCTTGTTGAAGAGAGCACATCATGTCCAAACACACGTCTGATATCCTGATGATTATTCGGGATCAGAGAGAAGACGAAGGCGGATGAACAGAAGGAATGGATATGTGATGATGCTGTAGGGGGAGAGCAGTGTGGAGAGTTTTGTATAAAGCACCATTGACCAAACGTGTTGGGGATTTACAATGGAGGATTCTGCAGGGGATTGTGGCAGTGAACGCTTCATATGTGTTCTTCACTCTAGTGTCCATGACGAGTGTCTCTTCTGTGCACATGGAGAGACTGTGGATCATCATGGCTATCTGGAGTGAACACAATAGTTTGATATGTGGAGCAGAGTTTTCCTGAAATGTGGACAGATTTGGACTCAGTGTAAGTTTCTTCTGGAGCTGGCGATAGAGACACAGACTGAAATGGCGGCTCATTCACTGTTCAGCTGCTCAAGCAAAACTTGCTCTACTTACCACAAGAAGAACCAGAATAGATGATGAACACGCTCAAGAGATTTAAGGTCCAGAATTACAATAGATCTGACGTATTACAAGAGCAGAAATTATGCTGAAACCTCTGAACAACAACAGTGTGTTATAATGTGGAGGAAGGGGAGCTGCTGATACATCTGCTGTGGAGTTACAATTCACACACACACACATACACATGCAAACACACTCTCTCTCTCATACACACACTCTCTCTCTCTCACACACACACACACACACAAACACACACACAGAGCAGTGAACACATGCATGCACGCGCGCACACACACACACACACACACACACACACACACAGTCATTTTTTTACACACACACAGATAAAAACACACACACACACATGCATGCACGCACGCACAAACTCTTTCTGTCACATACACACACACACAAACACACACTCTCTCCCACACACACATTCTATCACACACACAGACACACACACTTTCTCTTTCTATCTCACACACACACACACACACACACGCATGTGGACACACTCTCTATCGCACACAAACACAGACTTCCACACACACGGACATGCACACACACAAAGAGACTCTCTTTAAACACACACACACACACACAAATACAAACTCTCACACACACACAAACAAAGACACTCTCTCTCACACACACACAAGCATGCATGTACACACACTAATACAAACTCTTACACACACACACACAAACAAAGACACTCTCACACACACACACACACACACACACAAGCACACACTCTCTCTCCCACACACACACACACACAAACACACACTCTCTCTCCCACATACACACACACACACACACACACACACACGCGCATGTGGACACACTCTCTGTCGCACACAAACACTCAAACACAGACTTCCACACACGCACATGCACACACACAAAGACACTCTCTTCAAACACACACACACACACACACACTAATACAAACTCTTACACCCACACACACACACAAACACACACACACACACAAGCATGCATGTACACACACTAATACAAACTCTTACACACACACACACAAACAAAGACACTCTCTCTCTCTCACACACACACACACACACACACACACACACACACTCACACACTTCCCCCCCACTCTCACACACACACACACAGCAAATTCATTGGTGTTAAATTTCAAGTGTTGTGGTAATTCAGAGTAAAGTGTTAAAATTCTAGAGTTAGATAAAGGTAAAATAATCCTCTCGGCGTTAGAAGCTGATTTGCCTCCTTGTCATACAGAGTAACATGAATCTACCTTTGTAGAAAACCCTTGTATTTGAGAAACTAATCAGAGTGTCTGAAATCTCGCCACACCCTCATTCACCTGGCCCTTAAATTGGTCAATTAGTTTAGTCCACTAGACAGAGGGAATGACCACAAATAAGTGAATTCAGACACCTGCTGTTGAACACCTGCTGTTAACAAGCACAATCACTGAAGGAATAAGAAATTGAAGGAAGAAATAAAACTACAGACACAGCGTCACACCAAACCAACTGAATTAAAACAGAGGATTAAACAACTCCATTAAATAATAGCATAAGCAGCTTCACTGATTACAGTTTGACTTCATTTCTGTAAGAATATTTGACAATGAACAGAGGTTTATATTTTTTTATTAAAAATATTTCATTTGACCTCACCATCATGGAGATCAGAGGCTGCTTATTTGAGCTCTTGAAGCTTTACTCTTATAGCCTAATGTTTCTCTGACTGTCATAGCTGTGTTTCTAAAACTCATCAGTTATAGCAAGAATGGTCAAGAGAAGCTATACTGTTTATGCTTAACTGTTATAGATATAATTTCCGGTACTTAAATTGATTCATAAAAATATGCAAATATAATTGTATGAAAGCTGCATGGGACAATACTACTGGCAGTCTGCTGCTCTTAAAAGCAGATTCAACAAACAATTAGGATCAAATTAATAATTAGAGTGTCATGCACTAAACATTCAAGCTCCAGCTTGCTCATATGACACACAGGCATCAAGAATCAGGATATGAACCTCAACCGTGGTTGCTAAAAAAAAAAAGCTGCATAGTTCATGCCGCAATGCATGCTGGGTGCCAGCATAGTACAAATTTCCAAGCATGCATTGCAGCATGAATAAATTATGCAGCTTTATGTTCTTACAATCTCTTTCTTTTCCTTTATTTTGTGTTGTTTTTGGGAGGTGATATTTCAGTAGAGTGTTTTTTTTCCTTTATTTTTAATTTTTTGTTTGTCACCATTATTGAGATTCAAAGACTAATTATTGATCTCTGGGTGTTTTTAAGTCCTGCTATAGATCAAAGATTCTCATTGTAAATATTGTTTTTATTTTATTGGAGCTTCAGTGGTTTTATTATGTATATTATTTATTTTTCACACATAACTAATATGATATTGAATTAGAAAACAAGCAGGAAAGGATGGCTATGATATCATAAATAATCTCTTCAGACTGACTCTTTAATTTTCATTTGGCTTTCCATGCTATATGTTTAAATAGTGTAATTAACACTAGCTATAGCAGCCAAAATAAAAAACATTTATAGTAAGAAGTTGAAGAGCCTGACTAAAGCAGACTCTGTCCTCCATCATGGACTTCAAATGAACAACAGAAACTTCATTAAGAGCTTTTGTTCACATGACAGAAATAAAGTCAAAGGTCAGTAATAGGTGAAGCTCCATGATAAGTTGTTTTATGTGATGAGTTTTTTTAAAGATGTTGAAAAATAACATGTTTTATTGTGTAATTTGTTTTATTTTTATTGATTATTATTTTATTTAGAGTTTTTTTTTTCTCAGTTGATTTCATCTTTGGTTTTGGCTTGTGTTTTACTTTCCTTCAGTGATTCTGCTTGTTAACAGTTGTTCGTCAATAATTCTCAATCATCCTTTAATTAGACACTTAATTGTCTCACTAACTTCATCACTGTCTGAGTGTTCAGCCCTCTGTAGTGAGGACACTAGTTAGGATTTTGCTCTGGAATTAAGGTTAAGTGTGTTCGAATGAAAAATACAGACTATGGGATTTGTTTTTAACAGAAATATTCTGGAAACTGAATTTACGAATGTAAAATGTTGAAAACAGCAGATTACTGGAAACCACTGCTGCCAGTATTTTGACATACATTTAACAGATATTTTACACAATAAGAGTTTGTTAATTAACACTCTGGGTGTTAAAAATTTTAACACTTTTAAAAATGTTATTTTAACACTTATAGTGGTTCCCATATAAACACTGAGGGAGTGTTAATTTTAACTCTAAGGTTGTTAAATCTACCAAATCTAAAATTTGCAGTGTGAGATCGATAAAAAAATACAGACTGTTGAATGTGCTTTTAACAGAAATATTCTGTAAACTGAATTTATGAATGTTAAAAACAGCAGATTACTGGCAACCACAGCTGCTGGTATTTTTACGTAAAATCTAAAAATGAAAAAAAGAAAGAAAAACAGCAAAACGGTTTTTGTGTTACCATTGTGGAGGATAATAGCGTCTCTGTTCAAGTCCAAGATGAACTGAGAGTATTTGATGTTATGCTGCATCTTCTTTTCTTTAAAGGTAACTGTGTAGTTACTAATGCAGTCAAAATCTGTTTGCTAGTTGCAATCACACATGAAAACATTATTGCATCTAAAGACTTTACATTTTTGTGCACTAAGCAATGATTTTGTAAAATGAACAATGTATTAGTATATTTAGTTCATGAAATATCCATGTTTTTGCACAGAAAGATTCTGGCAACCACAGCTGCTGGTATTTTTTCCGGAAATTTAACAGATATTTTACACAATAAGAGTTTGCTAATTAACACTCTCTTGGTGTTGACAAAGTTAACACTTTCAAAAGTGTTATTTTTAACACTTATAGTGGTTCCCATATAAACTCTGAGGGAGTGTTAATTTTAACTCCAAGGTAGTTAAATCTACTATCTAAAATTTGCAGTGCACGCTGCTGCTGCTCCTGCAGAGGATTCTGGGTAAATCTCTCGTCAGTGTTCAGCTCAGTTTCACTGATGATCCAGAATAAAGCTCAAATCCAGGGCAGAGGGACTCCGTGAATGTGGTCTGGACTGAGTGGATGAGGCTCATTGTGTCTCTATAGATGTTGTAGAAGATCAGAGTTCCTGTACTGTGATCCACAAACACTCCTATTCTCCTGCTGAGCGGCTTTACAGGGAGATCAGTGCGTGTGTTATTGTGCCTGAATGTGAATCTGGAGGAATCACAGCTCAAACTCCAGGACTGAGCATTATATCCAAACACACACTCATGACCTCCTCCCTTCCTCTTGATGCTCTTATATGACACTGATATACACACACCATCATCTCCACTCCAGTCAATCTCCCAGTAACAGCGTCCACACACACTCTCTCTGCACAACACCTGAGGACAATAATAACCATGAAATCTGTCTGGATGATCAGGATACGGCTGATTCTCTCTCACACTCTTCACCTCTCTGTTCTCCTCAGACAGAATGAGACGAGTGTTTGCTGTGTTTGGATCCAGAGTGAGGAAACGGACATCTGAACACAAGAACACACACATTTATAACCACAGCTGTGTGTGTGTGAGAGAGAGAGAGAGAGAGAGGGAGAGAGTGTGTGTGTGTGAGAGTGAAGGAGAGTGTGCATGCGTGTGTTTGTGTGCACATGTTTACTTCTCTCTCTCTGTGTGTGTGTGTGTGTGTGTGTGTGTGAGAGAGAGAGAGAGAGAGAGAGAGTGTGTGTGAGAGAGAGAGAGTGAGCGTGTGTGTGAAAGTTACTGTGTGGGTGTGTGAGAGTGAGCATGTGTGTGTGTGTGTGTGTGTGTGAGAGAAAGTGAGCGTGTGCGTGTGTGTGTGTAATGTAAATGTAATGTAATGTGTGTGTGTGTGTGTGTAGTCATACATTTGTGTAGTCCAGCTGTAATCCTTGTCTCTCCTCCATGATCCAGACTGTAAACACACACAGATTCACATTCAGTCAGTACACAAACATCAGCTTATAACACACACACAGACACACACACTGACACACACACAGACACACAATAAGACATGTGGAGTGTGTGCTGAATGCTGGATTGTGATTGACTGATCTCAGTGCATTAATAACTGCAGTAAAACAACATGAGTGTGTGTGGAGCTGTCAAATCAGCTTCTGAATGACACACAGAGCTTTTAGATCAGATGTGGAAACAGAAAACAGAATGGAAACACAGAAACAGACAGATATAAAGACTGAAGGATTCATTCAATGATCAATTGACAAAAGCGCAGCACAATAATAAAGCAGAATTCAGTGTTAAATGACTTGAAATATGATGGAGATCTTCATCTTCTGTCAAATGCCTCTTCATCATCTCCAAGCAGACTTAGAACTCAATCATTCTGAGCTTAGAGTGTGTGATTAGTGATATGAGACTTGCTGGAATCACTCATTTACACATTTACACATTCACAACTGTGATGACAAATCTGATTCACTGTGGTGCTCAAAGACAAACACTAGTACTGTGTGTGTGTGTGTGTGTGTGTGTGTGTGTGTGTGTGTGTGTGTGTGTATGCTATATACTATACATCTTGTAAATGCAGATATTTAAATGTTTTTTAAGCTTTTAGAAAATATATATTTTCAGTTTTTTGTAATAAATGTACATTTGTCATGAATTCTTCCTGCAGTTAAGTGTGTATAAAACACAAACAGATGATTAAGAAAATAGATTAAACCTGTTTGTTGTCTGAAAGCAGGGGGGTTCTTTAATTTAATATATAATATGGCAGATATTCTTGGCCAAAGATTATTCAGAGTCACATTTAAGTAATAATCACAAAAAACAAATAAATGAAAATGGCTGTCAGGAAAGAGTTAAGAGCATTCAGCGCTACAACATCAGTAATGATCCATATACTTGAGTTTGTCCAGTGTGTAGTTTGGATCCTCCAGTTGTTCAGAGAGCAGCTTGACTCCTGAATCTCCTGGATGATTGTAGCTCAGATCCAGCTCTCTCAGGTGTGAGGGGTTTGAAGTCAGAGCTGAAGACAGAAAACCACAGCCTTCCTCTGTCACCATACAGCCAGACAATCTACAAACACAGCAATAGTCCACATCACACAGTTGGACAATCACACATCTCTTTGTGTTGTGAAGATGCTGACTGCTGTTTCTGCTCATGTCAACAGCAGTGATGAACCAAGACACTTCTTCAGTTTAGATAATAAGACTGTGATGAAACTTTTATATGTTTTCAGGAAAAATGCAAACTGTACAAACATCAGAGCAGGGCAAAACCTCAACAGGGCCCAAAACCCTACAGACTCCACAGGGTTAACTTTGTCTTCATCATTGTTATTTATTTATTGCCAGAACATTTGACAAATTCTTAAATAAACCTTTCCAATAAACAAATGCAAATATAAACAACAATATAATATAAACAAAATATGAGTACAGAATTTATAGACAATTCATCTAAATAATCTTTAAATACAGTCATATATATGTCTATTAGAAAAAGTATTTTACACATTTTTTATTTTATTTTACTCAGTAATGCTTTTAAATGTATTTGTATGCATGCATTTGTATAGATATGAATAAAATCACACCCATATAATCTAGTGTAAAGTGTATAATCTAGTATAATCTAAAGTGTAATCTGCCAACACACTGAGTGGGGAAAGGGGCTTTTATATTTGTTAAACCAGTACGTAACTCTCTTTTTGGAGTTGCTGTTGAGTGGAGAATCATTTACCTCAGTGTGTCCAGTTTACAGTGTTGACTCTTCAGTCCATCAGAGAGAAGCTTCACTCCTGAATCCTGCAGGTCATTGTTACTCAGGTCCAGCTCTCTCAGCACACAGTTTGGGGATTGTAGAGCTGAAGACAAACTCTCACAGGACTGAACAGTGAGATTACAGAACTGTAGCCTGTGTAGAGGACAAACACAATATGTATGTGTTAATCTGGTGTGTTTAATAGTCTGAAGCACATCTGACTGTAGTGACTGGTTTAACTTCACTAATTAGTGAGCACATCTGCTGATTTTAGCTTTAAATAATATGTTTGTTTATAAAACACAATTAAATGGCTTCCTTCAGATGTTCCAATAGCCCAACTCTTTATTAAACACCTAACCCTGAAGACAGGAATTTGTTTTAACTGTTTTATTTATTAATATTTTAATGAACAAACTAATGACAATAATCTTCTGTAGCATCTTTAAAGTTGTATCTCAAATCACTTTTCAGACTAAAGTGAAACAGATGCATATGTGACAGAAATATAGAAGATAAATAAATATATTCATTGTTGTTTGCTGCTTATGTGTTTTTGTTTCTAAAGATTCCTCCATGTCAGGGATCTGGGGTCCGTTCTTCGTACGTAGATTACTCAGTTAGCTGGATTTGGATGCTGACGATTTGACACGATCCAGGATCGTTTCGTTCTTCAAAGCTGATCAGAGAGTTGTTGTCATAGCAACAGTTCTGCTAAATCAAACCTGATCGGGAGCAGGTTCAATTCATATAAACAGAATTAGATCGGCTCAGTTCAAGCAAAGATAATACAGAAAGTACGGAATTATTATTTTCTTACAGTAGTAGTTATATACACTTGGGAAAATAGTAAATATTTTTAACTATATATATATATAAAGTTACAGTTATTAATAAAATAAATAAAGTTATATTAACAAAACTTATGCAATCTGCACCCTAAAAATGAAAGTACAAAGAGAACATTTATTGATATGAACTTTTTAGATCGCTTTAGTACAATTTGTGTATAATAGAAATGCAGAATATTTGACTTTGAAAAAAAAAAAAAAAGAAATAATACATTAATGCAGTCATGAACATGTTTTGACAGTTAATATGCCAGCGATTATGCTTCACAAAAGTTGCAGACGCCTTTACCAATATGAAAATGCTTTTGATACAGCAGTTAAAAAAACGGCTACTATAATAAAGAAAATCTTTTCTAAATGTGGAACTAAATACATTGATTTGCATTGAAATGCATGATGAATACTCTTGACACATGAAAGTGGAAAGCCTGCAGCTCACAACAAATGTGGAAGGTTTTGCGTATCATATTTAACAAACGGTTTACTGCTAATTTGATGTAATTTTGCTAACATGGATAATTGAATATTAATCAGATGATGTCATTACGCTGCTGTGCCGTCAGCAAATCGTTGCATTGCTGATCATGATTTCGAGGATCGATAGATCTGTCCTTCACAACACACGCAGCGATCTCAGATCAGTTTATCCAGACATTCTAATCTGATTCGCAAACTTGTTTGAAGAACCAAATTAGCGAGAGATCAGTTATCAAGATTAAAAGATCCAGGATCGGCAAAACCATCTTAGATCATTTAAACGAGGTACAAAGAACGGACCCCAGGACTGCCTGCTCTGTAATCTTGCCTGCAGCTCCTCAGGCTTATCCAGCCATGTCCACCGTTTCAGTTGTCTCTAGTACAGCAGTTTCAATCTTCTCTAGTACATCAGACACAGTTTCTAGCGCTAACAGTATGTTGTAGCGAGGACATAAACAAGGATGTCAACAACGGGAAATGCTGTTTGGCACCGCTAACAATTCAGCTAAAAATTCTGTGCAAATTCAGTGCAAAAAATGCAGTGTCTTTCTATGCGGACGCTTTCCCTGCATTCTACATCTCACATAACTAACACTCTAAAGATATGAGAATGTTTTTTATATGACTTACACATGCTTTTTCTGAATATATGTGACAGACTCTTGTCAGGTGATAATTTAGAGAGCAGGCGTGAGCTTCAGCTGTGTCCTCTGTGTCATTTTCTGTCAGATTCAGGCTCGCACTAATACGGCTAACAGCTACTCTGACTGATAGGATTTACACAGCACAAAAGTGCATGCTTGTTGGGCCGTGACACTTTTCCTGGTGATGTGGAGCCGATCTGCGAATCACAGCACAATACGTTAGCTGACCAATCAAAGCCTCTTGAGGACGGGCCTTTCAGAGGAACTAGGACATATGACATTTGTCTTCATGTTAGCTGAGTAGCTGTATATAGTCAAAGTCAGATATATGAAAAATAAGCTGATTTTCTGCAAATGAAGCATGAGCACACATCGCATTGCATTCTATCAACACAACCAAGCCTTAAAAACACACTGTAGACCCCCCCCCCCCCCCCTTAAGGACATCCAGGCAGTCTAGAGGTGTTTGAAACCTCCAGAAAGGTGGGCTCGCATCATCATGGAGGGTTTCACCAGCTCCACTATAGCTCTGTGCTCCTGCTGTTTATCCTGATTAACTCAACTCAATTTATTTCTAGAGCACTTTCAACCAACCACAATGGCTACCAAAGTGCTGTACATAAAACAGAATACAAGCAAACATACAAGAAACCAAATACATCAACTCACAACACACGAGTAAAAGCTGAAGAAAATAAGTGTTTCAGTGACCTCAGAAAAGACTCGAGAGTTGGAGAAGTTCTTAAGGAGAGTGGAAGAAATGGCCCAAAGTCTTGAAGCTGCTACTGAAAAAGCTCGATCACCTCCACATATCAAGCGTGATCGTGAAACGTGCAAATAGAGTCGATTCTTAGTGTGAAGAGATCTCACAGGTTAGTGTATATTAATTAGCTCAGAAATATGTTTCACTTGCAGCTCTCATCTCAGCCTGCCTGATCTCTTGCAGATTCGCACTCTATAACACCAGAAAGATCCGACCCTTCTTATCTGAACATGCAGCTCAACTCCTTGTTCAAGCTCTTGTTCTCTCCAAACTGGATTACTGCAACTATCTACTAGCCAGGCTCCCAGCTAACTCTATCAAGCCTCTTCAGCTGCTCCAGAACGCAGCAGCACGAGTGGTCTTTAATGAATCTAAACGAGCACATGTCACTCCGCTGCTCATCCGTTTGCACTGGCTGCCAGTTGCTGCTAGCATCAAATTCAAAGCTCTGATGTTTACTTACAAAGCGACTTCTGACTTTGCTCCTTATCTGCTCTCACTTCTGCAGATGTATGTGCCCTCCAGAAACTTGTGTTCTGTGAATGAACGTCGCCTCGTGGTTCCATCCCAAAGAGGAAAGAAATCACTTTCGCTCACGCTCACGCTCAATCTACCCAGTTGGTGGAATGAACTCCTTGACTGCATCAGAACAGCAGAGTCACTCGCTGTTTTCAAGAAAAGACTAAAAACTCAACTATTTAGTCTCCACTACACTTCCTATTCTGCAATTGCCTCTCTGAATATCACACTAACTGTACCAAAAAAAAAAAAAAACTAATACTTCCCTTCTTAGACTTTACAGACCTGACACTTGCCTATAGCACTTATTCATTGTTGCTCTTATAGTTGTGTAAATTGCTTCCTTGTCCTCATTTGTAAGTCGCTTTGGATAAAAGTGTCTGCTAAATGACTAAATGTAAATGTAAATATACAGGACCATGGAGGGATTTATAAATATACAGCAGTAGTTTGTACTGAATTCTAAACTGGATTGGCAGCCAGTGTAGAGAAACTAGTACAGGTGTAATGTGCCTTTTCTGTGCCTGTTAACAGCCTGGCAGCTGAGTTCTCCAATCTCTCATATCAGCCAAACAATTTAACAAAGCCTGAAGGGAAGATTGATCATCACATCTTTTGGGGAAGTAGATTTGAGAGTCATCAGCATATAGATGGTAATTTATGCCATGCTTTTCAAAAAAAATCCCAACGTAAATAAGTAAAGGGAAAACAAAACCGGACCCAATATCGAGCCCTGCAGAACCCCACACATTAATTAAATGACAGAAGAACAAGAGTTGCCCAAACTGACTGATGTAGTTCTATACTTCAGATATGAAGAGAACCAGTCCAAGGCTAGACCCTGGATATTTGTGTGTTTTCTAAGATGATTAATGAGGATGTCATGATCCACTGTATCAAAAGCAGCAGAGAGATCCAATAATAGAAGAACAGGGCTACCTGAACCAACCTCCAGCAAGACATCATTTGAAACCCACAATAGAGCGGACTCTGTGATATGACCAGCTCTAAACTGACTGAAAATTATGGAAAACATTAACATTAAACATGAAATCATTCAGCTGTACAGACACAATCCTCTCTAAAACCTATGAGATAAAAGCCCTGATCCACAGGATCTGCCCTGGTTTACTGTCCAGTAGTCCCTGCCTTGCCTTTGTCCTCCTCCCTGTCAGCCTGCCTGTCAGTTTCCCCCTCAACTGTCCTGTACCCTGTCATGGTTTCATTAACCTGCCTCTACCCCATCACCCTTGTCCACTGTAACACCTCCAGCTGCTGAACTCACTCTAGTCTTGTGTTTTCCTCTAATAATCATCTGGAATCTTCACCTAAAAGGGAGCTGTGTCATGGTCATGCTTGTCCTGTCCTTGTACTGTTGTGTTGTCCTTGTGTTCTCTGTGTTCACGCCAGTTTCCCCCATGTTACTCTTGTTACTTGCCCAGTTACTCTTCACCCCCTTGTTAACTCACTAGTCTCTGTGTGTTTAATGTCCTCTGTTTCAGTCATTATGTGTTGAACATAGTTTGCTGTATGTGTGTGTGTTTCTCTTGCTTGTTTTTTCTGCTCTTCAGCTCTGGTGTTTTCTTTGTGTATGGATTATATTTAACATTAGAACTGAACCTAGATCCAACTCATGCATTTGTTTTGCCTGCCTGTGCGATTAGAAGAAGATATAATAAACAAGAGGGTTGCATGGCGGTTCATTGGTAAGCACTTTCACTTAACAACAAGAAGGTTGCTGCTTTGAGTCTCAGCTCTAGTTTCCCCCACAATGTGAAGACATTTGGTATAGGTGAATTGAGTTAACAAAACTGACCATAGTGTATGAGTTTGTGTCTGTGTCATTGTTACCTTATAATTATCAGCATAGATATGAGTCAAAATAGACAGAATGGAGAAAACATCAGTGTGATCATTTCACTCCAGTCCAGAAAGGACTTTAAAGGTGCTGTATCATTTTATTGCTGCCTTGTGTGCAATTTAGACGATAACAGCCATATCACCCTGCAGCCCAAGACCAGTTACTCCCTGAAGCTAAGCAGGGCTGAGCCTGGCCAGTACATGGCTGTGAGACCACATGGGAAAACTAGGTTGCTGTTGGAAGCGGTGTTAGTGAGGCCAGCAGGGGGCGCACATCCTGTGGTCTGCATGAGTCCTAATGCCCTAGTGAAAGTGAAGGGGACACTACACTGTCAGTGGGCGCCGTCTTTCTGATGAGACATTAAACACTGTGTGGTCTTTTTATAAATCCCATGACACTTCTCATAAAGAGCAGGGGTGTAGCCCCGGTGTCCTGGCCAAAGTCCCTCAATCGGCCCTTACGATCATGGCCTCCAATCATCGCCATATATTTTTATGACAGCTAAACACCATTAGCTATTGACCTGCATGGTAGGAAAAACAGCTGGTTTGTAAGTCAATAGTGACAGGTTTCAGTTTTTTTCAAATTATCTTCTTTTATGTTCAATAGGAGAAAACAAAGTTTTAGAAAGGTTTATATCTATGAAGAGTGAGTAAGAACTAGTAAATTCACTTTTTGGGTAAACTATCCCTTACACAACAACTGCCAAAACCTGAATCTGAATGTTATTTAAAAAACACTAAAACATTACATAATGAACAATTATTAATGTATTTTGCAGTTTAGTTGATATCAATATTGTGCCTGTTCATTAACATGATGTCATGTCATTTCTTATTTTCATCCGCTTATCCATGGCCGGGTTGCAGGGGCAGCAGTCTTAGGAGAGAACCCCAGACTTCCCTCTCCCCAAACACTTGCACTAGCTCCTCCGGGTGGATCCTGAGGCATTCCCAGGCCAGCCGAGAGACATAGTCCCTCCAGCGTGTCCTGGGTCTTCGCCTAGGCCTGCTCTCGGTGGGACAGATGCCCGAGCCAACTCAGCTGACTTCTGTTCTTCAGTGTTTGAACTCTCAGCAGTGAAAAGTAAACCACACTAAACTGAACTAAACTAAACTTCAACACAAAACTGAACCGACACTGTTTCAATTTACTATGATCTTCTATGTGAAGCTGCTTTTACGTAAACTACATTGTTAAAGTGCTATAGAAATAAAGATGAATTGAATTGTCGATGTGGAGGTGCAGTGGCTCTACTCTGAGCTCCTCCCATATGGCAGAGCTCCAGACCCTGTCTATAAGGGTGCGCCCTGCAACCCTGCGAAGCAAACTCATTTTGGCTGCTTGTATCCAAAATCTTGTCCTTTCGGTCAGCTCATGACCATTAACATAATATACTGTACTATTTAAATTCAGGAAATGTTTATTTCTTAGATGAAAAAAAAGAAGGACGTTGACTTACAGAGCTCTTTTGGAGGATTTGATGACTGCTGATAGTCTGATGAGACACTCGTCTGATCTCTGGAATTTCTGAAGCTCAAACTCCTCCAGCTCCTCCTCTGAGGTCAACAACACAAAGACCAGAGCAGACCACTGGGCAGGTGAAAGGCGAGCAGATGACAGACTTCCACTACTGAGGTGAGACTGAATCTCTTTCAGCAGAGTTTGGTCGTTCAGTTCATTCAGACAGTAGAACAGATTGATGGATCTCTCTGGAGACAGATTCCCTTCAAGTTTCTGCTTGATGTAGGCAATTATTTCCTCTTTGCTCTGGTCTCTGTCATCCTGCTGTGTCAACAGGCCTCGTAAGAGTTGTCGATTGGACTGGAGTGACAGACCGAGAAGGAAGCGAAGGTAAAGGTCCAGATGTCCATTCTTACTTTCCAGAGCCTTGTCCACTGCAGCCTTCAGCAAATCAATCATGCTTTTATTTTTGCTTATCTGTATTAAAAACCATCCACGCTTCTTGTCGATGTCCAGATGTTGATAAAGAGCTGCAATGAACTCCTGAATGCTCAAGTGAAGAAAGCAGTACATGGTACCAAGAATGATCCCCGTCTCCTCCTTAAAGATCTGGGTACACATGCCTGAGTACACCGATGCTTTATAGACGTCAATGCCACAGTCTTTCAGATCGCTCTCATAGAAGATCACATTGTTTCTGTCCAGCTGCTGGAAGGCCAGTTTCCCCAGTGAAAGGATGAGCTTTGGATCCCAGGAGACATCTGCTGTGTTTTCTCCATCATACTTACTTCTGGTCTGCTGGATCTGAAAGCGGAGAAAGTGTGTGTACATCTGTGTCAGAGTCTTGGGAGATTCCTGCAGTGTTTCAGCATGAGCCCTGTGTTTCAGTTTCAGTATGTTCTGGAGAACAGTGGCTGAAATCCAGCAGAAGACTGGGATGTGGCACATAATAAAGAGACTCTTTGACTGTTTAATGTGATCAATGATTTCTCTGGCCTGATTCTGATCTGTGAGTCTCTTTCTGAAGTACTCCTCCTTTTGGGCATCATTGAATCCTCGTATCTCAGTCAGCCGGTCGATACAGTCAGCAGGAATCTTACTGGCAGCTGCTGGTCTGCTGGTGATCCAGATGAGAGCAGAAGGAAGCAGATTTCCCTTGATGAGGTTTGTCAGGAGAACATCCAGAGAGACTGCTGAAGATACATCACGACACGTCTCATTACCAGCAAAGTTCAGAGGAAGACGACATTCATCCAATCCATCAAGGATGAACAGGACTTTGAATCGTGTGCTTCTTGTAAGGTTCAGTCCTTTAGTCTCTGGGAAAAACTGAGTTATGAGGTCTTTTAAACTTTGTCTTTCTTTCTCCTTTAAGTTCATCTCTCTGAATGGAAGAGGAAATATGAAGCTGATGTCTTGATTTTCTTTTCCTTCAGCCCAATCCAGAACAAACTTTTGCACAGAGACTGATTTCCCGATGCCAGCAACTCCTTTTGTCAGGACAGTTCTGATCTGCTCGTCTTGTTCAGCTGCTTCAAACAAATGTTTGCATTCAACCTGTATCTCTAGTGACTGATGACGTCTGGAAGCAGCTTCAATCTGTCTGATCTCATGTTCAGTGTTGACCTGTTCACTCGCACCCTGAGTGATATAGTGATCTGTGTAGATGTTATTCAGAAGTGTGGAGTCTCCTTGCTGAGCAATTCCTTCAAACACACTTTGATATTTTTTCTTCAGACTACATTTAAGCTGATTAATGAAGACCAGCTCACCTAAACACAGGAGCAAAGAAACAGAGAGATTTACTCTTGACTTTTCCAGCTACATTAGAAAGTATCAGTTTGACAGATGGCCATGAGTCTTTTACCCTGGAGAGTATCAGCAGCTTGATCTTGCTTCATCTCTCTCAGGAAGAAGAGTGTGAGATCAAGAGCTGCTTCTGTGATAATGCTTCTGTTCTCATTAAACTCCTTTACAAACTCTTGTCTGTTTTTGTCTTGTAAGATTTTCCTAAAGTTTTCCAGTTGATTCTTCAAAAATCTGATCATTTTGCTCTCAAGATTCTATGAGTGAGGAAAAGAGAAGATCAATATTTAAATAAAACATTCATTAACATACAGTTGTGCATCCACAAACTACTCAATAAAGACAAAAAGACATTATAATATGAGTCTGTTGAACGCTTGATTCTGATTGGCTGATAAACTTTGTAAGGTGTTGTTATTTTCAGATAAACACACAGCTAAAGCAGATTTGGCAGGTTTTGAGCACATGACAGTTCCATATCTCTACACTGAATGATTCCAGTTATTTCACAGTCTAAAATCACATCAAAACACAACAGAAAGATTTGGATTTGTAAGAAACTAGATTCACACACAGGAGAAGTTTGAGGACAAAAACCTGACAAATGTCTGGAACACAACATGGCGGCTTTAGCTGTGGGAACATCAGCATCCCAGCAAACAGATTTCAATTATTACATTTATATTTAAAAGAAGTCTAATAGATGTTTACCAACAGCCCAAAACTAGACTAGTCATCAGATATGCAGCAGTGTGCATCTGTCTGATCTGTGTATTTGATGATTAGTCTAGTTCTGGATTATAGTTAGATGTTTAGTAGATTTTTAGGTGTATCCGCTTAAACTGACCCTTTTTTGGTCTGGCTATCATTGTTCAGACATCTATTACAAATTGCAGAATAATCCACTCTGGTCTGTTGAATTATTAGAAAATAATGAACACTAAATGTGTAACGTGTGTGAACTACTCGCGAATAATTCAATGAACTGCAGTCAATTATTCCTCACTTGACAAATACTTTTTAATTCTTAACATCTTTAATTACATGAAAAATAACACTTACAAATGAAATGTGTTGCTGAAGCAGGATCTTTTCCAGTGAACATTTTCTGTGTTATATTTACAATTTTAATATGAATCAAAATGAGTTTTTCCTACCTGGAAGATCCACTGGAGATTGTCTGAATAAGAAACTGAATCTTCCACTAGGTGTCTGTAAATGAGTCAAAGTCATTGAGTCATTTGATTCATTCACACTACTGATTCATTCCGAAGTGATTGTCTTTACTGAATTGTTGGTTCACAATAATATGCCTGAAACAATCCATGTGTGATCAATAATGTGAAACACAATATACCTTTGGGCAGATGATGGTGTTTTCTCTTTGAGGTCTGGTGGACGATCCATTGACCAGTCACTCTTGAGAGAGACAGAGCTGGACACACGTGATCCTGATCTCACACTGAACACACAAACACACCAGAGGAATAAACTGCAGGACAAACTTCAGTCTCCTTTAAAGGTGTATTAAAACTGACAAAAGAGAAAATTATTGGAAAAAAAAAAACATTTCACCAGGCACAAAACTAGCACAAAATAACTCTTAGCTCAAGGTCAGGCTGATCAGGTCTGTTAAACAGATTAGACTTACAGTGCGTACAGAAAGTATTCAGACCCACTCTTTGTTCTGTTGGGGTCATTTGCTAAAATCTTTTAAGTTCATTGTTTCCTCATTAATGTCCACACAGCAGCCCATACTGACAGAACAACACTGAACTGTAGATGTTTTTGCAGATTTATTAATAAAGAAAAGCTGAAATATCACATGGTTCAGACTCTTTGCTGTGAACTCAGCTGCTGTCTATTTCTTCTGATCCTCCTTGAGATGGTCTTTCACCTTCAGTTGAGTCCAGCTGTGTTTGATTACACTGATTGTACTTGATTAAAGCCACACACCTGTCTATATAAGAGCTTACAGCTCACAATGCATCTCAGAGCCAATGAGAATCATGAGGTCAGAGGAACTGCCTGAACAGCTCAGAGACTGAAATGAGGCAAGACACAGATCTGGCCAAGGTTACAGAAACATTTCTGCTGCACTGAAGGTTCCTCAGAGCACAGTGGCCCCATAATCCTTTAATGGAAGATGTGTGGGACGACCAAACATTTTCTAGAACTGGCTAAACTGAGCTGTCAATAGATCTGTCAAATGCTCTGATCCACTGACTTACATCAAAATAAATGTAAAGGTATTGAAGCTTCATGAAGCAGCACTCCAAAATCAGCCATCAGCTCTGTTTACTGGAGTACTCTTGTGGATTAGCGATGTGTTACTCGTTCATGTACACTCAGAGCGTGTTTCGCTGGTTTGTGTTTTAATCTTCTGTGTTTATTGTTAGCTGTCTGGATATTGGATTACTCTTTGCGGATTACCCTTGATTATGATTGATTGCTTCTGTTTTGTCCCCTTGCCTGTCTAAAAGATACTCTGAATAAGAAACTAAAACCATCACTAGCTGTCTGTAAATGTCTAAATTCACCAACAGTCATTGAGTTATTTGATTAATCCAAACAACTGATTCATTTACTAATGACTCTATTATCTGGATTGTTGGTTCACAATAACATGTTCAATACAGTCCAAGTGTGACCAATAATGTAAAACGTTCGAGGTTACTAAAGTAACCCTTCGTTCCCTGAGGAGGGGAACTCCAGCACTATAAGTGGATTTGATTGTTAAAATCCACGCATTGGGAGGTTCGGTTCAGAAGCTGCTCGTCTGAAAGAGTATTGAAACATAAGCAATCAACTGAGTATATAAGCTCACCTGGCGCCAGCAGACGTTATCCTTTTTAAGCTGAAGAGACTTTTAACAGCTAAGGGACAGTCATTATGGCGACGGAGTATAGTGCTTCCGTTCCCCTCCTCGGGGAACGAAGGGCTACTTTAGTAACCTCGAACATTCCCCTTCGGGGGGAACTCCAGCACTATAAGTGGATTTGATTGTTAAAATCCACGCATTGGGAGCCCATTGAAAGCGCCAAAATGACTGCACCTTACCAACACCCACCATGAGAGAGCGGTCAGGCAAGCGTGACGCACCCAGATCACGAGAGGCTTGGTCCTCCAACGTGCCCTTGGCCCTACCTAACTTATCCTACTTCAAAAGAAGTTTTACGGAATAGGTATCTTTTTTGGGAGTCGCTAGCGTCTAGATAATTCTAGGAATACACGACAGTACGTTGGGAAGCGTGCCATCCCAGTAGGGAGAACGCTGCGGAGACCATCCGCACCCAATAGGGGGAAACAAATGGAATTACATATGGACTAACCCTGAAAAGGGGGAGTGCGCATAAAAGGTGGTTAGCAGATAGGGAAAGCACGGGTCCGCCCAGGGGAGGAACTTAACCGTGGCGGAAAAAGCATATGGGGATCACCAGCGGGGATCGGCCATAGCAGGCACCTATACCCAAAACGCTGGCTGACCAGCGGGCAGACCTACTACGTAATGGGCCAGCAAGTGACTCCTCCGCTGAGTCAGTGCTGGGGGCCTCGGAGGAATCTGCAGGGCTCACCAAATGGGGAACTTTACTGACAGACAGGAGGGTGCACATCTCTCCGTGTTAGGGAAAAAAGGCACCGCAAGCGTGTACAACACCTACCGAGTTGTTTCCTCAATCACTAAAGGTACCTAACACCCTTGAGGAAACCGGCTCCACTCGCAGATTATAAAATCTTGCAAATGTGTTGGGTGTCGCCCAGCCCGCAGCTCTACAAATGTCTGTTAAAGAAGCGCCACGCGCACACGCCCAAGAGGATGCAACGCTCCGAGTGGAGTGCGCATGCACTCCTGGGGGGCGCGGCTGGCCTCTGCTCAAATAAGCACATGAAATGGCCTCCACAATCCAGTGGGATAAATGTTGTTTAGACACGGCACTTCCCTGCTGCCGTCCGCCATAACAGACAAAGAGCTGCTCAGAAGATCTAAAGTTCTGAGTACGGTCCACATAAATGCGCAGAGCGCGAACTGGACAAAGTAAGGACAGGGCTGGGTCTGCCTCCTCCGGGGGCAGCGCTTGCAGGGTTACTACCTGATCTCTAAAAGGAGTGGTAGGAACTTTGGGCACATAACCCGGGCGGGGTCTCAGAATAACGTGAGAAAATCCCGGCCCGAATTCCAGGCACGAGTCACTGACCGAAAATGCCTCCAGGTCCCCGACCCTCTTAATGGAGGCCAACGTGACCAGCAGAGCTGTCTTCAGGGACAGAAATCTTAAAGATACTGTATCAAGTGGCTCGAAGGGATCAAATCGCAGGCTCGTGAGAACGAGATCCCAAGAGGGCGTGAGAGGGGGGCGAGTTGGATTAATTCGCCTAGCGCCTCTGAGGAACCGGATGATGAGGTTATGCTTTCCCACGGTGCCGCCAGTCACCGCGTCATGGTGAGCGGAGATGGCAGCAACGTAAACCTTGAGAGTGGAGGGCGACAGCCTGCTGTCCAGCTTCTCTTGAAGGAAAGAGAGCACAACACTGATCTGGCAAGATCGGGGGTCTTCTCTGTGAGAGACACACCACTCAGTGAATAGACTCCACTTCAGGGCGTAGGCGCGCCTCGTGGAGGGGGCTCTAGCCTGAGTGATGGTATCATCCACCGCGGGCGGCAGGTTACCTAAGTCTTCCTTGCGTCTATGGACCACACGTGGAGGTTCCAGAGATCGGGACGAGGGTGCCAGACGGTGCCTTGTCCCTGAGAAAGTAGGTCCTCTCTCAAGGGATCTGCCAAGGGAGGGCCGTCGCGAGGAGGGAGAGCTCTGATATCCAGGTTCGGTTGGGCCAGAGGGGCGCAACTAACAAAACCTGCTCCTCGTCCTCCCTGACCTTGCACATTAACTGCGCGATCAGGCTCACTGGGGGAAACGCATACTTGCGTACGCCCCGAGGCCAGCTGTGGGCCAGTGCATCCGTGCCGAGAGAGCCCTCGGTCAGGGAATAAAACAACTGGCAATGAGCGTTCTCGGGGGAAGCAAACAGATCGATCTGGGCCTCCCCGAATCGCGCCCATATCAGCTGAACAGACTCGGGGTGGAGTCTCCAGTCTCCAGAGAGAATCTGCTGCCGTGAGAGCACATCGGCTGCATGGTTGAGCATACCTGGGATGTGAATGGCGCGCAGCGACTTCAGCCGCGGGTGACTCCAGAGGAGCAGACGGCGGGCGAGCTGAGACATGCGGCGAGAGCGCATACCCCCCATGCGGTTGATATACGCTGCCGCCGCCGTACTGTCCATCCTGACTAGCACGTGTTGCTGCCCCAGCGCCGGAGAAAAACGGCGGAGAGCAAGGAACACTGCCAACAGCTCTAGGCGATTGATGTGCCAATGCAGCTGGGCACCTACCCACAGGCCCGCAGCTGCATGCCCGCGACACACGGCTCCCCAGCCTGTCGAAACAACAACATGACTGGACGCCTGTCCCAGAGGCACACCGGCCTGCAGGAACGAGGGGTCGTTCCAGGGGCTGAGGGTGTGGTGACACAGCGCAGTAACAGAGACTCGGTGTGTGCCCGCATGCCATGCGCGTCTCGGAACTCGATCTTGAATCCAGTGCTGAAGTGGTCTCATATGGAGCAATCCGAGCGGCATGACGGCCACAGCGGAAGCCATATGCCCCAGGAGCCTCTGAAATATTTCCGTGGGACCACTAACTTGCTGTCGAGCTCCCTCAGACAGTTCAGCAGCAGGCGAGCGCGCTCTCCGGAGAGGCGCCTACCATGGTGACCGAGTCCAGCTCCATCCCGAGAAAAGAGATCCTCTGCACCGGGGCGAGTTTGCTCTTTTCCCAGTTGACCTGCAACCCCAATAGGCGGAGATGCCGGAGCACCTCGTCTCTGTGCGCAGTCAATTGCTCCCGAGAGTGGGCTAAAATCAGCCAGTCGTCGAGATAATTGAGTACGCGGATGCCCGCAAGCCGCAGAGGCGCTAGGGCACCCTCCGCGAGTTTGGTGAAGACCTGCGGAGACAGAGAGAGCCCGAAGGGGAGAACCTTGTACTGCCATGCTCGACCTTCGAACGCAATCCGCAGAAACTGACGGTGGCGTAGAAGAATGGAGACATGAAAATACGCGTCCTTCAGGTCTATGGCTGCAAACCAATCCTGAGGACGAACGCATCGGAGGATGCGCCTCTGCGTAAGCATTCTGAACGACAGCTTGTGAAGGCAGCGATTCAAAACGCGCAGATCTAGGATTGGCCGTGACCCACCGCTCTTTTTGGGTACGATGAAGTACGGGCTGTAAAACCCGCTCTCCATCTCGGCTGGAGGTACCGGCTCGATTGCACCCTTCGCCAGGAGGGCAGTAATCTCCTCTCGCAAGACAGGGGCGGACAGGGGATTGACCCTGGTGAAATACACGCCCGTAAACCTGGGAGGCCGTTTGGAGAACTGTAGTTCGTAGCCGAGTCTGATCGTGCGTATGAGCCACCGCGAGGGGCTGGCCCGCGCTAACCAGGCAGGCAGAGCCCTCGCTAATGATGTCATCGCAGCAATCGTTGACGTACCCGCGGAGGGGCAGCGAGGAGCGGGTGTGCTGATCCGGGGAGCGCGAGGGTCCCACAGAAGAGCTGGAGGAGAGCGATTCGCTCTGGCTCCGCACCCTGACTCCGGAGGGGGGGCTTGGGGGCTGGGAGAAGGGAGACCGTCCCCCCAGCGCCCGTGAGCCGCTGGCGGAGCATGCAGACCTTGCGAGCTGAGAGGCGGCGCGTCTCAGGCTGGCAGGGCCTGCAGTGCCCGTGAGCCACTGGCGGAGTGCACCGAACCTACGAGCTAGAGAGCTGAGCTCAAACTGGCAGATTTCGGGCTGTCACCTCCGGAGAAGTGGAAAAGTGCCCTTTCATTTCATGGCAGTAAAAAGTGCCGTTGGAAATGGCGCCCCGCCCTCCAGCGGGGAGGAGCAAGTTCCCTCCTCTCCAGATGACCTGTCCCAGGGACGCTTCGCGGTCCGTTTGCCAGACTTAGCGGCGTTCTAGGCAGGGGGAGTGGCCTGCTTCCGAGGTGCTCGACGCGCTCGCTTCGCCAGAGGCGAGTGCGGGGGCGGTGCAGCTCTCGTAGGCGGGCGCCTTCGGCGAGCAGCAGGTATGGATGGCACGGCGGGCGGAGCGGGCTTACGGGGCCGCCGATTAGACATCACCCATCGGACTGCTCTCTCACTGCCTCGAATTCCTGGGTGAATTCGCAGACTGTGTCGCCGACCAGCTTGGGATATGGGCGAGTCAAGAAAGCGGACTTTGTCAACTTCGCGCATATCAACCAAGTTTTGTTAGAGGTGGGGCTTCTGGACCACTAGTGTGGACATCGTCCTCCCCAGAGCACACGCAGCGGACTTAGTAGTCCGAAGAGCTTAGTCGGCTGCGGTGCGAAGCTCATAAGCCTGGGTTGGACCCACCCTCGTGCAGCTCGGCCAGCGCCTGCGCTTGGTAGCGCTGGACGGTGGCTATCGCATGCAAGGCGGATGCAGCCTGGTCCGTAGCTTTGTAAGCTCTAGCTCCGAGGGAGCCGAAAACTCACAGGCTTTGGATGGGAACCGAAGCAGACCCCGCCAAGAAGAGGCGCTGCGCGGATTAACCGCCATCGCACACTCAACCTGAGGAATCGCCACATACCCCCTGGCTGCTCCACCACCAAGAGTGGTGAGGGTGGAGGGACACGCAGCACGAGCAGAAAAAAGGTGCTCTTTAAGACCGCGTGAGCCTACTGTGCGTCGCCGGGAAGAAGGGAACGCCCCTCTAGTCGGTCCGGCCGCAGAGCTGGGGGATAAACCATCTCCAACCCACGGCCGAAGCAGCCCGGGAAAGCACGGCTAACACGTCCGTTTCAGTATCCGTTTTGACAGCGCTCACCTGCCCGAAGGGGGCGAGCGGGTCCGGATCATCGTCGGACAATGAAAGCCCACCCTCCGATGCCGCGGAGGACATCTGATCTCCGGTGACAGCGAGCGTGAGAGCTACCATCTGATTAGACGGATCACTCCCAGCGCCCGAAGCTTGGATGGAGCGCTTGGAGGAGCGAGAGGTCCGCGAGCCCTTATCTCTCGCTGGAACCCTCAGATCTGCCCGAGCGCCCGCTGCAGAACAGGAGTCGACTGGGGTGGCTCGCTCTCTCACGAGAGTTTGCCGCGATCTCAACTGCGCGACGTTCATTGCATCGTAGTGACGACATGAACCGCCCCCGAGCACCACATTAACATGCTGGACCCCCAAACATGTAATGCAGTGATCGTGCCCATCATCCGGAGCCAGGAAACCCCCGCAACCAGAAACGCACAGTCGGAGCGCCGTCCTGAAAAGGACGTGCTGCACGACTGTGTTGCTCTTTTAGGATGCTTTGCAACAATACGCACCGCTCTGGAGGACCGGACCCAAAGGGATGCCAGGCAAGGGAGAAACCCAGCTCGACCATCTGCCGCTGCGTGGACTCGCTCTGGACCGGGAGACACTCGTTCGCTCGAAGTGGCTGTAGACAGCAGGAGGAACCCTCATGAAGCTCGATCAGAAAAGTCTCTGAAGCGAAAAGGATAGCGTCTGCTGGCGCCAGGTGAGCTTATATACTCAGTTGATTGCTTATGCCGCTCACCTGCGCAGGCTTGCGCTGCCAATTCATTCTTAATTGGCCCGTTCAATACTCTTTCAGACGAGTAGCTTCTGAACCGAACCTCCCAATGCGTGGATTTTAACAATCAAATCCACTTATAGTGCTGGAGTTCCCCCCGAAGGGGAACACTAAATACCTTTTGACTGATGATGGTGTTTTCTCTCTGAAGTTTGGAGGTTTACCACCTTTTGAGTGGTCACTCTTCAGAGACACAGAGCTGGACACACATGATCCTGATCTCACACTGAACACACAAACACACCAGAGGAATAAACTGCAGGACAAACTTCAGTCTCCTTTACAAGAGATTATCAGACATATATGAGTTTGTTCAGTTTAATTCAGCACAAACTAATAGTTGACTGAAGGTCTGTCTGTTGTCATGTTGAAATAATGGTGTAAAAACAGAGTCAATACCTGTGTTTCTCTGAGAGAGAGTCCTTTACTCGCTCCTCTGCCATACTGCAGCTACAACACCAATGCAGAGATTAGCAGAGCTTTCAGGAAACAATCATACACACATACATATATATATATATATATATATATATATATATATATATATATATATATATATATATATATATATATATGTGGTGGGGAAGGCGTGATCGAACACCCAGAAAGTGGGGAGAGCAGGCGGAGACACCGGCGGCTGGTCAGTGGTCTAATCATAAATAATTATTAACACCTGTGTTTTCTAGTGATTGGGCCGGAGAGACACCTTCATAAGGGGAGGAGAAGGAGAAGCCGAGAGAGGGGAGAGCCTGTCGACCTTCAGACTCGACACGCACACACACACAGAAAATTATAAATAAAAATTGTGCTTACCTGATATCGCCGACCCTGCCTTCTTCTTCCCACGAAACGAACATTATTACAATATATATATATATATATATATATATATATATATATATATATATATATATATATATATATATATATATATATATATATATATATATATATATATATATATATATATATATATATATGTATATATATATAGTCCTTAACATGAATGCAGTTGGTTTAACCCTGATCTGACATCTCAGTTGTTTCACATTTGATTTAAGGTAAATGCATGTTATATAGAGTTTATCAAGAGAAGTTCAGGTTCAGCTAATTGTTGATTTAGTGAGTATTAAAAATGTCTCTCTACTAAAGAGGCTCTTTGGTTAATGAGTTACTCTGACGGTCAAAGGTTAAATGCAGTGTTGTTTAAGGATCGTCAGCTTGTTGTTTTCAGCAGCTTTTCTTCCTGTTCAACTGGAAGGTCTGCTTTAACTTTACTTTTGATTTGGTGACTCTGAATGTTTAGAGTTATATTTATTGCTGAATTATTGGACACTATTGAGTCAGTCTGATATAGAAGAGCACAAACACTGTAAAGGGATTAAAAATAAAGCTTTTAGACACAGTGTTTAAATGAGCGTGTTTGACTCAGTGTTTAATATGTGTTTGAGGATTTGATCTTCAGGATCAGACATTTAAATCACACTCACACATATAAACCCTTCATCATCTCCACAAATCAGCGTAATGTAGAAGTGTTAAACTCACATGCAGAAGTACAGACGCTCTTGTGCAGCCGGAACACAATCTGAGCTCTTTCACTCTTTCGCTTCACTAAAACACACCTGTGTGATCTACAGGTATATCCTGAAATATTACTAGCTTCACAGAGTGACACTGACATGAATATTCATGAGATTCTCCTGACTGTGGGCGTGTCCTGAAGAAGACACACAAACCACTGTAGCTGAAGATATCTGTGCAGCTTCTCTGAGCACGAGTGTGTTGAAGGAAGATTTAGAGAAGGTATTTAAGATGAAATCTGAGAGGTCTCTGAAGAATATTTAGAGTAATGTTGAACCTATAAAATAAGATTAGAGATTTCTATATAAATGAGTACACCTCATACAGATCTCTCTGCTATATTATTATTATTTTCTATAGGATGCTGTTCAATAATATTTAATAAGTGTGTTTATACAATAGATTAGTCAGTACCAAAGGCAAAACTGAACTAACTGAACAAAATAACTGAAGATCAAAGTGAAGAGAAACAGCACACTCAAATGAATTATGTTTAACCAGAGGACAAATCAAGAAAACCATTAAACAGTATTACATTCAGTTCAAATGTTGTAGTTTGTCTTTTATTTATTGTTTGCAACACATAATTTGAATGTACATGTGTTATCTCTCTATTTCTGAAGGTGTTTTTGACTCTTATTTTAATCAATATATCTGTTTATCGATACTCGCTATTAGAAATATATATATATATATATATATATATAAAAGCTTTTCTAAATTCTCCTAAGACAAGAACAGGACAGCTTTAATGAAAGGTTTTGATTATATAATGATCGCTCATTTATATTACAGATGTTTAATACTATTTGTGACAGTAAAAAACAAGACGTGGAACCCAAATGCAAGTAAAAAGTCTTTATTGCTTAACTTAAGCAAAACAGGGAAAATGGTGAGTGGTTGGAAGTGAGGAAACTGTAGTAGTAATTAAAGAGATGGTCCGTCTCGGCAGCGCCGGATAAATGTTCATAAACTCATCAACAGAGCAGATCAAACATACGTCGTAGAAGAAACAGCAATGTCTCCGATGAACTCATCAACAGAGCAGATCAAACACTCAGCGTAGCAGGAAGAGGGCTCATCAGAGACAGCAACAAGGAATCAACCAAACCACTCACCACCAGCGATCTCAACGGGAGGAGCCTGACAAAAACACAAAACACCGTGAACAAACAACGAACTGACAAAGTGAGACAGGAACGCTGATCATTTATAGGCACATAAAATGCGCTACACCTGTAGCGCGCTGATTATCAGCCGAGCGCGCTACGCAACAGTTCCGGTAACAAAAGATCATGTGACCGCTCAGCTGATGACATGAAAACAAACACCCACTGACAGCCACGCGACACCCACACAAACACAGAGAGAAAAAGCACACAAACTTAGAAACACGCATCATGATACTGAACTGTCACACAACGCAGACACTTCAAATAAGGAGCAGATGGATCCACAACCGTGACACTATTTTTTTGTCATCATTTCTCAAAATTCAGAATAAAAAGTCGATAAAAATATTGAAGTAAAACAAAAAAAGTCATAATATACTCACCCTTCTTGAGTTCCAAACCGGTTTGACTGTCTTTCTTCTGCTAAACACAAAAGACGTTACTTAGAAGAAAGCTCGACACCTTTTACCATAGAATTCTACATTATTTTTTCTCCTACTATGAGAATTCAATAGAGAGTTCCAAATTTGCCTTCAGACAAGAACGAAAGTTTCAATGTAGCTTCAGGACAACTATGAGTAAAGGTTTTAATGTTGTCATGGTCAAAGTGGCATATTGACAATACAGCAGAAAGAATCTGAGGGGTGTTAATGGTATAGTTACCTAGGTAACCCTGTTTTCAAACCTCCGCTGCCTTGCGGCTATATCCATTCATGGAAAAGGCTTCAGGAGTAAACCTAGAGGAAAAATCCGGAGTCGGAGTCCCTAAGGCAGTTTAACGCTGCTTGCAGCCTCACTCTGGCAACTCCTGCGACGGCGCCGATACCAAACTGTAGCAGCCCTGCTGTTCCTTTGGATTTATCGACAACGTGGAGAGGGGGGACCCGCTACATGGGCAACAGCCTGTCCTCCATAATACATTGCCCTGGCTAGTATCCGATCTCGCACACCCTGGAGAGGACACTCCAGCCTCGCTAGCACTCTGGCGTGGATACAACACGGGGAGTTGTAGTTTACCGGTTATAAGCCACAGCTCAGTTGGCGTAGAGCAAGGCGCCAGGGACCGCTCCCGACGGTGGGAGGGATCTTCGGGTCCCACTGGACAGTCACCGCCCGCCTCAAGCTGGGCAGCCCCCAGTCAATTAGGTACTGCCCCGCCACAGTCTGCTTTCCTCATTGGGTGCATGGGGAATAGGAGCATTTCGAACAGCAGACTGCAACCATCGCACCAGACAATAAAATAACACAGAGAAAGAGACCAGCTCTAAAACTGGAATGCTGGAATGTCCGTACAATGCTGACGGGCCTCTCCGAGGACTTACGGGGCATTGACGACTCGCGAAAAACAGCTGTCATTAACAACGAACTACTAAGGCTAAACGTAGACATCGCCGCTCTACAGGAAACACGACTAGCAGACTCAGGCACTCTGAAAAAAAAAGACTACACCTTCTACTGGCAGGGAAGGGCCCCAGACGAGCCCAGACAGCATGGCGTGGCTTTTGCTGTGAAGAACAACTTACTGAGCATGGTAGAACCAGGCAGAAATGGTACAGAACGACTTCTCACCCTCCGCCTCAACACCACCACAGGCCCTCTCACTCTTGTCAGCGTGTACGCTCCAACTCTGAACGCAACACGGGAAACTAAAGATACGTTTTATGGGAACCTAACATCTGTCATTAACAACTACCCTGATAAGGAACAACTCATACTTCTGGGCGATTTCAATGCCAGAGTGGGTGCAAACCACGAATCATGGCCCTCATGCCTAGGCAAATTTGGCATTGGAAAAATGATCGAGAACGGCCAACACCTGCTCGAGCTTTGCGCTTTTTACAACCTGTGCATCGCCAACTCATACTTCCAGACCAAGCCCCAGCATAAAGTCTCCTGGCGGCATCCGCGGTCAAAACACTGGCACCAGCTGGACCTCATCTTAGTTCGCCGCTCAGCTATCAACTGCGTCCTGCACGTACGCTCTTATCACAGTGCTGATTGCGACACAGACCACTCCTTAGTGTGCTGCAAGATCAGGTTAAACCCAAAAAGGTTTCACAGTTTAAAGAAACAAGGAAATCCTCGCATCAACGTCAGCAGGATGTCGCAGCCTGATCTGACGCAGAAATTTGCAGAAACCCTTGTGAAAGAACTTGACACCGCACAGACAGGTGATTCTGCCCTGGAAATGTGGGAATCACTACGAAACACAATGCAACGCACTGCCCTGGCAACTTTTGGAAAGAGGACCACAAAGACGCATGACTGGTTTGAAGCAAAGGCCTCTACGATGATTCCATGCATAGAAGCCAAGCATGCGGACCTGACAGAATACAAGCGGTGACCAACTCAGAAGAACCTTCAAATTCTCAGGTCAACTAGGAGCAAGGCTCAACACATTGCCAGATATTGCGCAAACGAGTATTGGCAAGAGCTCAGCAACGACATCCAGAAAGCAGCCATAGCGGGGAACATAAGAGGCATGTACGACGGCATTAAGAAAGCGCTAGGCCCCACCCAGTGCAAAACGGCACCCCTTAAGTCATCTACTGGGGAAATAATCTCGGACAAGCAACAACAGATGGAGAGATGGGTGGAACACTACTCCGACCTCTACTCTAGACAGAACACAGTGACCTCCGCAGCACTAGACGTCATTAAATGCCTGCCAACCATGGAAGAACTTGACGAGGAGCCAACAGCAGAAGAGCTCAGCAAGGCTATCGATAAACTGGCCTCAGGCAAAGCCCCTGGCAGCGACAGGATTCCTCCAGACTTGCTGAAACAGTGCAAGCATTCCCTACTGCACCCTCTTCACAAAGCCCTCTGTCAGTGTTGGAAAGAAGGGGCCGTACCGCAGGATATGAGGGATGCTAAGATCATCACCCTCTACAAAAATAAGGGTGAGAGAAGTGATTGCAACAACT